TTCCCGGTGCTCTGTCACGCCTTTAACCCTCCTCCCGCCGCCCTTCCACTCCCTGGTACCTCCACGTTGTCGGCATCATTCACTCTCACTTTCCCCTCTCCTCCTTCAGCGCAAACCGCCCCTATCTCTGCTACAAACCGTCCGCCACTTCGCAAACGCAGATCTCCATTTCACAGGAGCGCTCCTGGCCATGAGGGGGGTTCTGTGGAGGTTGCAATTTACGCGCGGGTGATTGGCGGTGGGGCGGGCTCGGGGCGGACGTGGCGGAATATGGCGCGTGCGGGCGGGGCGGCGGGATGGCGGTGGCGCAAAGGAGCACGCGCGGCGCTCGCGCGGGCGTGTTTGGCGGAAACTTTTTCGGGGGGGTGGGGGCCCCTGCTTGCGGTGGGTCAAAAAACTTTATTTACAACCAGGGAGAACCCGGCTTGCGGTCGTAAGATATCTCCCCGCGCGGCGCCAGATCTGGCGCCAGCAGGAAACGCTCTGCGCGCAGCCCGCTGCTCTGCTACGCGCGCCGCTTCGCGCTCCAACCGGCGTCGCGCACCTCGCGCAGACGCGCCCCGCAAAACGTGTCCTGAGCATGCCAGAAAAACTTGTTCCCGCACCCCCGTGGAACGGGCCCCGCGACAAGCAAAGCGCCCGGCGCGCAGCTGCCTGCGCCGCAGATCGCGACGATTGGATCAAAGGTCTATCCTCGACATGCGCCTCACCCTTGCGAAGATAGTGATCATCTGAGGAGGCTCCTCATCCTCCGCCGACGCCTCAGCATTTTGCCCAGTCGGTCTTCTTTAACTTGTTACAGTGTATACTGTACCGCCGCGCGGTTAGTAACCCTAATTCAATGCAATTGCCATCGCCACCCACCGGCGACTCTCGCCGGCTTACAAGGGCATCGGGGTAATAACCTTCAAGGACGTTTTCATTCATTCCGCACCGCATACCAAGGTATTTATCATAACAGTCCCTACAGCCGGACCCGATTGTGGTATTTCACAGAAATACGCAGGTGAGGTAGGAAAAATAAATATGTTCGTCAACCCTTCGACCGGATTGATATCTCGCAATGATGGGGGCTCGTGTGATCGAACCACTCCACCTGCGGGATGTCGAACACTATTCTGTCTGTCTCTCCTTCTTCCTCTCTCGCTATCCGAGAGAGGGCCTTGCTTATAAATACGGAGAAAAAAAGGCAAGTGCATCTACCTTACAGTAGTGTACAGAAGGGCACACGTAGGTCGCAAATTTCTACACTCCCCAGTTTTAAAGGAGGATCTTGCCTGGTTTCTAACAATGAATTGTTGGACAGGATTCCTGTCGAATTCAGTACGCAAAAGATCTTGTAATGCTTCATTTGGCTTCTCTTTGGTCAGCCCATCTGCAATGTTGTGTTCGTAAATTATCAATCCAACGTGGGGAATCTCCTCTTGATTATAGAATTCTCGAGCGGCTGCGATGTCGATCATGAGTCTTCTTTCTGTTGTTGAAGAGGCTTTTGTGACGACATCAAACATCTGAAGAGAATCAGTACGCATCTCCAGAGGTATTTCCTTCTGATATATTGTTTCGAAGTCATGTTGGAGCATGAAGACTCTGTCAAAGCCCTCAGCGAATGCGTATATCTCGCTTCCTAAAATGGAACGAACTACACGTTTTGACTTCCTGCTTGAGTAGTCCAGAATATGTGCTCTGTTTGAAGCATAGCAAAGCAAAAATAATAAAGTCAAGTTGTGATGAAAGATCGTCATTCTTTGCGAAGGACGCATCCGTGTAGACCTTCAATTGTAGTGATTTATTCTCCAAGCGGACGTATATGAGGCTGATAGATGCCGTTTCTTTCAGACGCTTTATAGCTTTGTTAATTTTGGCACATATTGTCTTTTCCAAACGTTTTCGGAGTGACTTGTGCAGATTTGTTAATGGGGCAGGCCGTGTCAGGTCTATTGTGACCAATCCATGCAAACGGAGCACGAAAAGACCGGAAAACTCGAAGGAAGCATCCGAAGGGACGATTTTAAGTTGCTTTGCATACGATTCCTGTCCAATCGAAAACGATGAAGGGGCCAAAGTCTTAATTTGCGTTCCGAAGAGTTCGAAGTTATCCCACACACGTGGTTTGGAGTGGCATCGTTTGAGCGTTCTTTCAGTTGACTCTTCCATTCTTTCGTTTCCGGCAAGACATCCATCATCAACGTAGTTTCCCATGACACCGTCTACATCTTCATCGTTCCTTTTGATGTACAGTGATGGATCTCCACGCATCGGTTCTAATAGTAGTTCTTCGCGTGCATGTCTATCCATAGTGACACCCCAATAGTCACCAGCGTCGGTCGTGCCATAGATTGGTTTCAGAAGGTGAAGAATATCCTTCTCATCAAGCTTAAAGAATTTGAGGTCCCTTTTTTTGGCAAAAAGAACAGTTGTCCGGTCAACTCCTCCTCGCTTTGGAGATAAGCTTGGTTCACGTCATGCGCGAAATTTCGGAATCCTTTCACAGCAGCAATGGAGATAATAAGTCGCGTTGAACTTTGACGGAAGGTAGTAATACTGTCCACCATGACTCTTTTCTCCTGGTCTCTGTGGCCTTGAGCAACAAAGCGCGCCTTAGCCCTTAGAGTGTCCGATCCAACGTTTTTCAAGGTCAACACAAATCTTCCACTCAATACGTTAGCTCCCGTCGTCAGTTGTGTCTTGGGGATGACGCGCCAAGCTTTGCGTTTCAGCCGTCCTTTGACCTCAACATCTTTTGCTATGTTGAACATCTTAGAGTTTTCTCTAGGATCGTCGGCTTCTAGAATTTCTGTCAGGTGTTCGTGGGCAGTGCAACTGGGATGTTTTGGGTTCTCATTAGCAAAAGCGGCAAATATGGATTCCCTTTCGGGGATGTGGCGCTCCAACAAGATTCACTGTCGAGATTTCGAGCTCTCTATCTCTCATGCCTGAAAGAACGTCTTCCAGTTCACCAATGATGTCTGAATTCGTACTCCGTGCTACTTGTGCATCGTTTTGTGGGTCTGCACTTTCGATACCCAGCTGCGAGCCTCTCTTCGTTGCTTCCAAGCTGGGGTCGTTCTGAGGTTGAAGATATAGCTTTACTTTGTCAATAGAGATTTTCATTGCGGAGCCATTCACGTCGAGTCGGAGTAACTTTTCGTCGCTGTCGAGTACCTTGAAGGGCTCTATCCACTTGTCTTCGGGCTTTTCCCAATACACGAGAACATCAGATCCAATCTTGATATCCTTCATAACCGCTGCTGGGACGTTCGCGCGAATAGCGCTGCTTAAGCGCTCCTTCGCTATGGCAGCTGCCACCTCCTTACAAGCGGAATGCATCGCCGCCATTCTAGAAATCTTTTCAGTGAGTTCAGAGGGGACTCAGTCCCCTCTGAACTCCCTGAACAGGGGTTATGCCGAGAATTCCTGTAGCCTACAGGAATTCTCGGCATAACCCCAAAGATCAAGAGGGTTGGAACCAAGCCTTGGGCGCTTCCACTATCATTCATGGCCTTGATTTCAAGCATAAGTGCGTTTTGAGGACTGATGCTTGGCTTTGCGAGATGAACTTTTCGATAGATTTGACGCAAGAACGAGTGGTATCTCTCCCCAACGCCAAGGGCATTGTGGCTTTGAACGCCTGACGATTTATACTTGATTCCAGCCATGAGTAGCAAAGTCCTCCACCGCTGTGACTGAAATTGTGTTCCCTGATCTGTGGCGATTGTGTCCGGGAAGCCAATATACACAGAAACCCATATACGCATAAACGATTCCCAGGTTTCTTCTGTGTCTCACTTCGAAGGAATGCAGCTGCAGAGAATTTCGTATCCCTATCTACAACATGAAGGACAGACTTTCCTTCGAGAAACATGATGTCCATACAGACAGTGCAGTTAAATAAAACATCCTTTTCGGGCAGAGAGACTCTAAAGCGATGTGGGGCATGGCTTAGTTGTTGGCAAAGCTCGCAAGTGTTCTCGATCTTTTCGAGGTCACGAAGAACTTCGGGTTATGTCCTTTCTGGAACGCCTCTCTTCATCAGTGAGTACAGTCTTTCGGATTTTTGGCGATAAAAGTGCTTGTGAATTCTAACAAGCTCGGATTGGGTGAAGAGTATCTCCGGTTTCCATTCGTAGTAAAGGCGTCCTCTTTTGCTCATAAGCAGAACATCCCAGCCTTCGCTCTTCGATGAAAGCCGCTGATTGTCCGTGTCCAAAACAAGTTTGAACCGTTTCATTGTATCTAGACCCAGCAGAAACGGAATTTGAACATCTACAACGTCAACAAGCAGCTCTATGAAATGATTTTCGGTAATAGGCATTCGTATGAGGATTGTTCCCATACTTGAGTGTTCATGAGTCCAAAGCTGAACGTCCGGGTGGGAGAGTCTGTCTGCAACTCAAAGTGACATTTGAAAAGTCACAGTACGCTCGAGCTTGCCTTTTTCCGATTACGGTTTTCTGGGCGGCGGAGTCAATGCACGCTCCAAGGAAGGTATCACTTGCCTTCAGTTCAAATACATTGTTCGTGAAGTATACATTTTCGGCACTTCCTTCATTTTCGATATCGGGTAAGGCAGATTCATTAGTATCACTGTGTTTTTCTTGGTGTGAGCTTGTCACCAAACTCTCAAATATTTCGGAGTCATTCGTTGCCGGGGTGGATGGCTGGGACCTGTCCTGTCCGCCGTCAATTTGTTCGCATAGTTGCGCGAGTACCTGATGGACGGCGTACGGTTCTGTTCCTTTCTTTTTTGCAAAGTACTCAATCTTTCTTGAGGCTGCACGAACCGTGTTCAGGGGCTTAAGGCAGTCTTTCAAGAGGTGGTTTCCACCACAGTTGAAGCATCCCTGCACCGACAAGGGGTCAAACCTAGCCTTTCTTTGTGGAAAAGGTTGAGAGCTT